TCTCTGGAGACAGCCAAAGGCTTGGGACAGCCAGGAGGCGGAGGAATAGCTGCACACCTTATCCTTCCCTTCCCCACTCTTTGTGCCTGGGAAAATGGATTTACATGCCATCTCTGGCATGCATGCCATAGATTCGCCAACACAGCTGTATTCTTTTGCTTTCATCTATGACTAGAACATAAACAAATCTATGACTGGATTATCTCTTAGTGATGCACACTGTCTTGTGATGTCTGTAGCCTCCAAAAATGACAAATAAATACTTAACAGTCAGACTTCTGGCAGTGAGTTCCTCTGGTAAATCAGGTCTCTGTGCAACAGAGTGGGATAGAACAAAGTAGATTGCAAGCCATGGTTAGCATGTGCATATATTTGCTTGGTGGGATATCCAATGGGCTAAAAAATAGGACGTAAGTGAAATCTGTACACTAGTTACCTTTTTTAAAATTTTGATTTAACGTCATACAAAAACACATAACAAAAATACATAACAAAAAAACCCTTTAAAATTATTACCACATAAAAATACCTATCAAACACAAACATACGTAAATATTTATAGAATAGTTAGCTATTCTGTATGATTGCATCCAAGATGGAGGTAACATAGGGGGGTTGCAGACTGCCAAAAATAGTGCACATTGAGTCCACTTTTAGGGTTAGGGTTAGTGCTAGGGAATCATGGGAATTGTGTTGTGGTTTTTTTTTGAGACATTGAACCTTCTCTGTCAGAGCGCTCTGGTGCGACAATAAAATACAGTTCCCATGATTCCCTAACCCTTAAAGTGGACTCAATTTGCACTATTTCTGGCAGTCTGCAACCCCCCATAGTGAGGACCACTTCGGTGACTTAGATTGGGCCAATATTGTTTGGTTCATCTCTCACTGGAGCTGTCTGCTTCAGTGGCCATTTCCTCAGTATCAGTGTTATAATTCTGTAACACTATATAAGAATTGCAACCTTCACTTCCATGCCAACACACCTACTATAACATGTAACATTTCTATTGGATTGTATATCTTAAATGGTTAACTAAGTGCATTGGCAAAGTGGTGAGATTTCTGTCTGTCAGGTTTAAATATTCATCCTCTGGTCTTTGTGGGTCAGCTTTGTGAGGAGTTTGAAAATAGCCATCCATGTGCACTCTCATTCCACTGGTAATATAGTGGCAGCTTGCTCCACTAAGCATGTTTACAGTGGAAATATGTTCAGCTCCTGCCTGCTGCAACAACAAATGTTTTTCTCCTTTTTTCACTTAAATTTAAGCTAGAACCTAAATGCGTAAGCCTAGAGCTAGATCTGGCTATAGTCATGCTGGTATAATATGCATTAATGGAAATGTGGGACTAATCTTGGATTTGTAAGGAACAATCTGTCCCATCGTTGCACTGAAGAACAAAAATTCTATCCTGGAAACCTTTTTGCTACCCACATTGATCACAAGTGCTATGTATCTGATGTATGTGTTTACATTGTATTGTTACTGCCATGGCCAGTAGTCAGTACAGTTAATGAATTTACTCATTTGGCAATGATTAGCAAACAATGTGTAGGTTGCATTGAGAGCTATAATGCATTAAGTGTAGGCTTGCATTCAAGTTTAAGAAAACACTATCTTACAAGTTGAATAACTGTGAAATTGGATTTTTCTTTATTTTACAGATTTTATATAAAAAGAAAAACTGCATTAGACAAGATTTAATTTTTTAAATTAAAATATGTTTTCTCTTAGGGTAGACTTCTTTATACCTGGGGTTGCTATAGTTGGTGGCTACTCAATATGTTCAAGTCCTGGCCTGCTGGAACAAGAGGGAGTATTAGAACTTGCAGTAAAATATGCAACACATCCTCCTGCTCATTGGATTCACACTCAGGTATCTATATGGCATTTAGTGTTCTTATTTTTTAAGGAACTCCTTTGTTATTAATTATTTATGATATATTCAGTTGTTTTAATTACTGTTCATTTCTTTGAGCTCTTCATGTTAGAGTAGTATATAAAACCTATTTTAAATAACTAAATAGTTGGGTCCAGAACAGCATCAGTGTAAAATCTGTTTTATTCTTAAATGCTAAATGTTTAAGTTGAATCCATCCATCTATCCATCCATAATACATCATTCCCCACCACCACCACTCATCTGATCTAATATTTGGAGTGGGGTGGAGCAGAGGAAGAGTAAAGATGTAAAAGGCTGTAAAATAGCCACATTTAGCTTTTGCTGAAAGAATTGACAAGAAATGTCTTCCAAGAAATACAAGTGTGGTATAAATTTTGTAATGAAAAATTAAACTAAATTTGGAAAGCAAAAGATGGAGGTGTGACACACAGCCCAGAGATTCTTGCCTAGAGATAAACTTGCATCTCTTTAAATGCTGTAGCATGAAAAGGTTGAAAAACAGACTGTGACTTCAAAATATTGCATAGATTGTGCATCCCCTTCTGTTACTAATTTCAGCAGGAGAGGAAGCAGAACACTACTACAGTTATCTGGAAACACAAATTCTTAAAAAAAACAGCGTTCTCACTTTTTCACTTCTTCTGTGCCACCAGATTGAAAGAAATATGTTTTACTCGCTGCCATTCTATTTGTTGACTAGCAAAATTTTGAAGGCACAAACATTACACACACAACTCAGTGTAAAATCAATGCAGCCTTATCTCTTGAGCAAAAAGAATCCCCGAGTGGCTCCTAATCCATCCATTACCATGTGACAGTAAAATGGGCTCCCACTGTTGTTAAATAGGTTAGTTTCATGCACCATTGGAATTTCAATAAAATAACTCACTTTGAAAGATATTCTGGAGAAGTATAGAACCAGTGTTGCTGGACCACACATGCTAATATGAATCCTTGTGGAGATTTCCTATTGATTCTCTGTTGCTCATTAGAGACCTCTCAAAATGTAACCTCATAATTATCTGCCTTTGAGGCATCTCCTAGGAGGTTTCCTGCCTGCCTGCCTTGCCTGTTTTAATTTTTTTAAATTAAATTCATAGTGTCACAGCACTGAAAACAGTTAAGAGCATTATCCAATTCTGGGGAGAGTATGTCAAGGTATCAAGATAAATGTCTTCTAAGAATGGATCACTATAATTATTTAGTATTATTAAGTATTCTCTGTCTTATGTCAATTTGTAATTTTTAGAATGACCATATGCAACAATAGACAGTGAGCATTCTCATCTGGAGAGATCACAAACCTATGCCTTTCAGCAAAAATAAATAATTATAAAGTCAACATGAAAAATGCTAGGTATTTCCATACCAAGTTATCCTATGGCATGTTTTTCTTAAATTATGTAGGACACTGTTGCAGGTAGTTTTGACACTGTTAGTAAAAAAGAGTTTTAGTCGCAAGCTTGTATATTGTGCTTCTTATTGTTTTACGCTGATTTGCTCATTCTACACTATTTTGCATATTTTAATTTAAAAAGATGTATAGAAATATATATTAGATATTAGAAAGCAAATGTAATGCCACCCCAAAAAGACTAATTGGGCTTGTTTGGGAAATAATTCAAATAGAAGTAAATAAATGTACAGTATATAATGCCAAAATCAAAGATAGCAGATTTTCAGTTGTTCAGAGTACACTTGCCCCTCCGTTTTTGCAGGGGATCCATTCCGGACTGCCACCCCCCCAAGAAAACAGAAACTCACTAATATTCAAGCCCTATTGGCTTGAGTGGTTATGCGCTCCTGTGTGCGCCCCATTTTATCCTATGGAACTTGCCCCTCTGCAAAGAATAAAGACCACGGACTTCAAGTCTGCATAAACGGAGGGTCGAGTGTATAACTAATGTATGCATTTCTTAATTATCATTTATTTAAATTATTTATTTATGTGCCTCAAAGTCTTCAAGGGCCCCTGAGACAATGTACAACAGATAAAACATTACTCAAAATCTTAAAGGCAAACTAGTACAACATTAAAACAAGTAGTCTTTAAAAGGTGTATTAAAAATAGCTGAAAACATTTAAAACACAAGCAGTTAAAATAGCAGAGCAGCCACTCCTGGCTTTAAGAACTAGAAGCCACAAGAAATAATTCTCAGTTTTATGGAACTGAGTTTCACTTTCTTTGGAAGCTCAAGAGAAATGGTGCTAGCCCATCTTATGAAATGAAAAATAATATAAGGATGTATATTTGGTAACCTCATGATAGGTGTACTATAAGTCAGAAATGACTTGAAGACACACAACACACGCAGAAATATTTGAGGAAAACATGCTGACTTTTATATTTTAAAATATTTGTGAAACATTGCTCATGGATCCAGTGGGAATTTGGTAAAAAACACTTACATAAATTCCATTGATACAGTGGGTTCACTCTTGTTGGAACTGACAGTTAAATTTAGCCCTGTATATTTATGTACTGTACATGTTTATGAGCATGTTAATGCAACACTGTCTAATTTGGGAAAGGTTTCTTTATAATGCAAGACCAATCCATAATGGTGTATTACCGGTACAATAGTTTATGATGTTTTCCTAATCTGGAACAATATTTTTCTGTTACAAGTGGACTATGTTCTAGCTCACCAATTTTGGGGTGTTTCTCATTTGGGAGATAGTGAATCCTAACTGTGATGATCTGAGTTTCAGTCATGAACTTCCTTTTCTCCATAATGCTCCTCAAAGCCTGAAGATGTTGGTGTAGGTTGTGTCAAAGGGGAAGACTGGCAGAAATTGATATCCGATTCCTTGTATCAGCAGGATGTGTTCTTCACTTGTGCGTAGGGTCCCATTAGGTCTCCCAGCCACTGTACCTGTTTGTGTGTTTGTTTTTCCCCCCTTAACATCTTGAGCTGACTGCTTTAAACATGTCAACAGTCACTTTCCTTTTAGTCTTCTCTCATTTAAATGATTGTTGATATGATGTGCCTTCAAGTTGACTTCAGCTCAGCAACAACCATATCATAGTGTTTTCTTGGCAAGATTTGCTCAGAGGATTTGACATTGCCCTTTTCTAAGGCTGAGAACATGTTACTTGCTCAGCAGGGATTTGAACTTTGGCTTCCCAGATTTCTAGTCTAAAACTGAAACCACTACAGCACATCAGCTCTACCCTTCACTGATTAAATAATTTGATACTAATTTGAGATACTAATTAGGGCCAAACTACGGTATCTGAAAGACTGTGTCTCCCCATACAAACCTGTAAGAGCTTAAGATTTTCAGGGGAAGGCTTTCTTTCAGTCCCACCACCACAGGCTTGACTGGTGAGGACAAGAGAAAGCCTTCTCAGTGGCTGTTCCCATCCTCTGAAACTCCCTTCAATGCTGGGGAGGGGCTAGGATGGCCCCCACCATAGTTTCTTTTCATCGGCAGGCAAAAACCTTTTGTTTAATTAGACTTTTAATATGTAACCATACCAAGGAGGCCTTTTTTATTGAGGTGTACATTCTATTTATTTTGTATATGTTTTAAAATAATTTTATATTGTTTTAGCCGTGACTATTCCAATTGTTTTTAAGGTGTACTGGTGGATTTTAATTGAAGTATGTCTATAAGCCTCCTTCGGTCCCACTCTGGACAGAAGGCAGCATTTGAAATACATAAAAACATATTTGAAATACTAATTTGTTATACATTTCTTTGTCTTTTTGTGGGGTGTATACAGGTTCTGAATATCTTTTCTTTGATTAGTTTTTAGATCTGCATCAACTAGATTATTCTTCATATTAATAGTTTAGAATAGGTAGCTTATTTAAGTAGGTAACCCAAGTGGTCCTGAGCTGTAGCACTCTGCATAATATGATTTCCTTGGCTTTTTTTCTTCTCCAGCATTCCTGTAACTGTAATTGCTAACAAGACAGGTTACCATGTACTTCTAACAGCTGCAAAGATCATTATATACAAGGGTTTTAAAGAAGAACCTGGCCAATCTATCCTCTTTTTAATGAAGTCTATTATAGCTCCAGTTTCATTTCTTCCCACTATTTAACATTCCTCTTGGGTGGATTCTTCTAAAAATATATGGCCGCTCAGTTCCCTGGACCTTATAATCCTTGCCTTGAACTCCCAGCCCCTTCTGCTGAACATCACACTTCCTTTGTTTAAAGCCTCAATCATGGAATCAGCAGAAGTATGCAACTATGCACTGTTATCACCCAGAGCAATCTGCCAAATGACATTCTTAACTTGGAGAATGTGTGTATTGACTAACCAAACCTTTTCTTCTCCACTGAGATACATATGAACTCCCAGTGGGACATTTCAGTCAAATCTTTGTCTTCTGCAAGTTGGTGGGTGGGGTGGAGAGCTCTTGAGGGTACTGCCTTCTTATTCTGTTTCATGCCTGTAATATCCCTTGTTTTCTCCTTCTCCTCTAGTGTACTCTTGGCTCAGAGGTGGCTTTACGAGTGGGAGGCAACTTCTTCTTTGATCCTCAGCCAGCTGACTCTCCTGCAAACCTGGTGCTCATAGCTGGTGGAGTTGGAATTAACCCTTTGTTTTCTATACTGCTCCATGCCGCAGACCTTCATAGAGCCCAAGCGAATAAAGGAACTGGGTATAAGATGGGAACAACAAATCTGTTCTACTGTGCAAAAAACACACATGAGCTACTATTTAGGGTAGGTACCAGGAATTTTAAAGGGATTGAGAGCACTTGGGCTTGAGGCAAACATAGAGCAGCAACAGACAAGGGAACAGGACATGAGCAGAGACTAGTTTTTGCTTAGATAATTGCTAACTCTGCCACCTCCAAGTCAAGCCAGCCACCTCTGAACAGTGAAACCTTGGTATCTGCGGGGCATCTGTTCTGGAATCCCCTGCAGATACCAAAATTTGTGGATGCTCAAGTCTCGTCCCCAATGGTGGTGGGTGCATGCGGCTGCACCCCCATTGGAGGTGGCCTCCCTTGTCTCTGATGGCAGCATGTGCATGTAGCCACACATGCACATGACTGCGCAGCCATTAGGGACAACAGAACTTCAGGTGAACTCCCATTGTCCCTAATTGCGGTGCAGCCGCATGCACACACCACCACTGAGGATAACAGGGGCTGTTCCTAATGGTGGCACAGCCACATGCGTGTGTTGCACCACCATTAGGGACAGTCCCCGTTGTCTCCAGTGGTGGTGCATGCACATGGCCATGCCATCATTTGAGACAGTGGAACTTCAGGTGCCACCATTGAGGATAACCACGGGCTTGCCATCCACGGATGCTGAAATCCATGGATGGCGTTCACAGATAAGAAGGCCCTCCTGTAGTAGGAGTCTGAGGGCCAACTGCGTCTTCTGTGTCCTTACCAGGAATTGTTTGGTAACCTCATTCTTTGGCCTGTCCGATATCTTGCTATAGGCCATGGATGGGCACTGTTTTTTGAGCCCGGGTTTCATTTTTTCCCCCCTCCAAATGCCCCTTAGTGGTGAGGTGGGAATTTTCACCATGTGTTTTGGTCTCCTGAGCCTAAATTGGAGAGGCCTTGTTTTGAAACAGAAAGAAATGGCTTTCTTCAGTTCTTGGTGTTTAAAAAGGCTGTTTCGTGGGCTAAAATGGCCATGAGAGTACTAAAAATATGACAAAAATCCCCCTGTGCTTCCTGGAAGGTATTTGAGAACATTTAGGGGCATTTTTACAGGGTATGTGGTAGAGGTGTGTGGTGTCTCCTTGGGGGATGATATGGTCCCTTTGCCCCCTCCAGTTGCCCTCCCTTGCCGTAGGCAATACTATCTAAAATACTAGAGGTTTTCCCCATATCTTTTTGGTTGTTGTGTGCCTTCAAGTCATTTCTGACTCATGGCAGCCCTAAGGTGACTTATCAAGGGGTTTTCTTGGCACGATTTGCTCAGAGGGCTTTGCCTTTGCCTGCCTCTGAAGCTAAGAGAGTGTGACTTCCCCAAGGTTACCCGGTGGGTTTCCAGGACTGAGGATTTGAACCTTGGTCCCCAGAGTTGTAGTCTAAAGCTCAAACCACTACACCACATTGGCTCTCTGGTCTAGGTCAGTTACTGCTACTCTGGTTGACATTGTTGACATTCAGAGTTTTGTTCCAGAAGCTGCACAAAGATTATTTTAACCTTTTAGGTATGTGAAGGAGCATGCTTCCTTGAAGTTTTCCATCTTCCTTCCCCCCCCCCCCCCCCACTATATTCCCCTTGCTGTTTCCAGGACAGAAATGTATTTTCTCTCTTCCCATCCACAGATGTATGTAATGTTATCTGTGTAATGAACAGCAGTTTTCCAAGCCTGGAGCTGGAACTGAGTGATTGCCCCTTAACAACTTATTTGGACCATTGAGTTCCATTCCTTCAATCTGAACTGATGTTTGAATTTTGAAGAAAGAAACTTCCATTATCCTTTTCTTAAGGAGATTGTACTGTGTGTGCTGTATTTGTATCCTCTTCACAGAATTTTTATTTCTATGAGGCTGGGAGTAGGCATAGATCACATCTGGTTTGATTTATTTGGCTGTGGCATGACCAAATATCCTTCACATTCCAGAAGCATATCCTTGGTTTGACAAATGCATTTCCTGGAAAGATTGCATGCAGTTTCCATGTTACTCAGCAGAGTTTACCAATCTGTGGGAAACTTCAGCCTTACATCAAGGGTGAGTATTGGTGTGATGAATAAAAAAAGTTAAAAGCATGATGACACTGTAACTTATGACTTCAGTGATAATTTGAACAGGATATAAATGAATTTAATTCTCAGAGTCTTATTTGTTATGCATAATAAGCTGTAAAGTATTCTAGAGGAGTAATGGGCTGGGAAATCCTCTGTGAGTTTACTCAGAAGTGAGTCAAAAGTTCACTCTCGCATAAATGAACATTAGTTTTGCAGCCATCATACACAAGAAAGTTGTATTTCAGATATATTGGGTAGCTTTCTTTGTGCTTTGTCTTGCTCCTATGTATTGTTTAGAACTCATGTTTCTTCCCCCCCCCCCACATATTTCCCCCCTACAACCTTATCTTCCTAGCTAGCTTAAAGGTATACATGATCTTGTTTTATCATTTATTGTGTCATAGTATTTAACTCCTGGAATACTGTAGAGATGGTGGTGGGGAGTTACTATTAATAAGAATTGATTCAAAATGTCCCTAATATCTGAGAGAGATCTGAATTTTGAAACATAAGTATTCCTTCTTTTTTTCATTCATTTAATTTAATTTCAAAGTTTTGTGAGAATTTTCCTTTACTCTGTGTATTTTCTATTAGAGGGAAGAATATCTGGAAATGATCTAGAAAAATGCATCTCCCAGGATACCTTGTGGTACATCTGTGGCCCACCTCCAATGATAGAATTCATCGTTAAACTACTAGAAAAGCTCGGTGTGGCTCAAAATAATGTTTTCTTTGAAAAGTGGTGGTAGCACATCCAGAAACGCGTCAGCAAAAAAAACAAATGAAGATAATGGAATGTGTGTGTGTGTATATATATGTACATACACTGATCAATGGTGAGGACAGAAAGAAACTGAACACTTCCATATGCACAGATTATATATTTCTATACTAAATTATGTAAATTATTTTAAGCTTGGGAAAATGATCTTAAAAAATAAATATAATTCAGTATATATGGCAACATTGTATATATAATTCACCTGACTGTACCTTTTTCAAGTAAATATTATATTTCTTTAAGCATTTTATTGAATTTTTGTTTATAGATATAAAAGGAATCTAAGAGTACTATGTACATAAGAAGAGAGACTTGCACATAGAGGTTTCTTATATTTATTTTCACCTCAACTTTCCTGACTGCTGAACAGCTGCAGTAAAATGCACAAGCAAAACTGTGCCTGTGCATCCTAACCAGTGCAATAGATTCAGATTTAAGAACAGGCTCACCTCCCTCTGCACCTCCTAAAATGCTATTTTGAGATGGACTTCATAGTCCTACGCAAGGAGATTGCAGACTGTTGTGCTAATATATCCTTATGACACTAAAGGCAGCTAATTTAAAGACTACTGTATTACTATATACAGTGTTCATTACAATTGGGGATTAATTAAGTAAAATATCTTAAGGTTACCAAAAGATGCTAAATAAACTAATACTCTGATGTGGTAATATGTTTAAGCATATGCGTAATTAACTTGGTAACTTTATTAACTTTAGTCTACAAAGCTATCTGCCAGTGTAGTACTATGTTATTTGTCATTTTGCAAGGAATTTAAGAGAAGCAGGCTTCTGTTGTTGTCGTGTTCAGCTTTGCTGGAAAGGGGGAAGGAAATGTCGTTACAGGAAATTGTTTACTTGACCCTAATATTTTGGCTGCCTTCCATTCTGTGACAGAATTCACTGTCACAGACTGAATGGCTACTAGCTGTTAATGGCTTTGAACAGGTTAATGAGGACAAATTAATGGAATATAATCATTGATGATACATCTATGAAAAATCTATTAATCATTATTCATCATGGCATCAGATTTCAAAGTTAACACTGAATACCAGATTCTGGGGAACAACAGGATAAGACTGTTCCTTTGTACTTGGTTTGTGGACTTTCTAGAGGCCTTTGATTGGTCACACTGAGAAACAGGATGCTGGATTGCTGGCCTAAGCCATCAGGACTCTTCTTACATTGACATACTAAGTATTTAGGGCTCTCTGTATTGCTGGCTCCAGCTAATACATGGAAAATAGCAATAAACCGGAGACAGTCAAACAGTATGATCCTATGAGTCCAAACTATGAAAATGATAGTTGCCATAGCCCTATTCAGATATTACTTAGCCGTTGGTTTCAAATATTACTTAGCTATTACACTGGTTTCAGTACACAAGAGAGCACCTCATCCCATCCTCCTTCACTGTAGCTTTTGTTACAAAAAGCAATGCATTGTGGAAGGAGAGGTTCCTGTTTGCATGGAGATTTTTCATGCAAGCGAGATCCTTGATTTTCTGAGTTACTTGTTCACAGGGATAGCTTCCATGCAAACAGACCTGCTGGGTGAATGGTATATAAATCCCACCTCACTGCAGAATGGTTTCATAGATTACATATATATTAGGTAGAGCACTTGTCCATGTACAGAACATTGACTTAAAACTTAGTATCAGAACAGTGCTACATCCTGTTCAATCTCCTTGCATGTAACTCACTAAATGAAGGTAGTGTTTATATTTGACTTGGTTTAACAGTATTGTTTTGTTATTATTATTTACTTATAGCCCACCTTTCTGCCAATATAAGGGCTTAAAGCGGCACTTTGAGAATGGAATGAGTAGAGCTCATCAGCGGGAAGGAATCAAAACCTAGTCAGAATAGAAATATATCACTACTGATGCAGCTATCTGTGGTGCTTCAGATGAGTTAAAATCTAACAACAAACCTCCTTTTTGCTTACACATTCTACCATTCTGGAGTCAATGATGGCCTTAAATAGCAGCATCTACTTTTCACTCTTAGGCTGTGCAGGAGAATTTATTCTGATAGTATTAACTCTCCTTGATTCAACTGAGTCAGTGTGTCATGTCAGTCCCCTTATTTGAGTGAAGAGGATTGCTTAGCTCACTGCAGAGCACACAGAGTGTGGAGTTCTTGTCAACTTGCATAAATATTGAGGATGCCTTTTTCTTTGAAATGGCAATTCTGATCTTTTTAAATTCTCTAAGCCGAAGGGAATTAATCTTCCTGAAAAGGGAGATTATCTGTGACAGTAGCAGTGTCAGGCCTCAAGTGGAACTATAAGCCAGTGTTCTGTAGCAGCCTTTTAATGCAACTGTTTCCTTTACCTATGATTTTAAACAGTTGACAGAAGATGAAGAATGATAATGGCTCTTTTAGGGGACATTAAGTACAATTGTGATTGTTAGTGTCACCCTGTTTTCCCCCAAAATGTTGGCAAATCCACATCTAGAAGACCCCAGGCTTTTTACTGCAGAGTCTTGAGCCCTTCCCCCATCCCTTCTTTCCTGTTGTTCTGTCATTGTCTTTTCCTGACATGCTACTTCAGGGACAAGAACATGTCTTTTTTAATTGTAGGATGTCACATACCTCTAGGGTGGTGTAAATTGTGCAAGGGTCCCCCCTTGAACGGGCCCAGGACTCAAAGCCTATTAATTTAGAAAAGATGCCTTTTCTTGTGAATTTCATTCCTTCTAATAACATGAGCACTTCAAAGGTGTTAAAATCCTCATTTCAACTGAACTACTTCATCTGAAGAAAAAAGAACTATCCCCATCCAATTGCATCCCTAAATTATATTCTCCTGGCATCTCACTAGCTAGCTAATTTTACATTGATGCTTTACTTATTAACCTTTAGGGATAAACTAAAAGTGTAATGGCATTTTAAAAAGCTACAAAAGGTTTATAATTCATTTGATGTGAAACCTCCTTAATTGTATAGGATGCAAGATTATTCATGCAACCTAGTATTAGAACTACTTATTTATCCTAATACAGAAACATACAAGTGAGAATATACTAGCTTAAAGGAACCAACAGCTATCCTGATTTTGTTTGAACTGAAAATTATCAAATAGTTGCTGCCTAAACAAAAGCAAAAAAGGCATTGATAGTTTCAAATTCAACTTTGATTTAAAAAACAACTGACAAGAGTGTCCCACTGAAGAAGAGACTGAGATTCCCAAAGAAAAGAAGCTGATCATGCTTTATGCCTGTGCATAGTCTGTGCGCTCCTCTCGAGAGTCCCACTGAAGAGTTCTTGTAACCAAAGTAACCTCGTGCTACTTTTCATCTGGGGCAAGATGAGTGTTGTGTGGCACTGATATAGGCATGGATGGTATGCATCTGTCTTGGCAGTAAGTTGCCAAGAAAGTGTTTCTCACACACATTAAAAAAAAAACCCATCAGCCATGGGATGCAAGATTCATTTGCGTTCTGTAAGAGAAATGCATAACAATTTTTTTTTTACATTGTAATCATATGCATGTTTGCTCAGGCGTCCCACTGAGACCTACAGCAGCTTACCTCTGGTTATCGTATATAGGTTAGCAGCCTTTGTCCTTT